ACCATAAGCTCTTTCAATGATGGACGTCTCAACCACATAATACACGAGTATTTAGTATTGAGAGGTTTTAATTGAAAATACAGCAAATAGATGGAGATTATTTTACACAACCACTTAAACTAACGAGAACAGAGCTGAGAGACCGGATTGTGTTGAGACCGAACTGGAGAAGACCACAACAGTTTTTGCTGTGTTGAAGGTTCACAGGAGCATTTGGCCTCCATAATCTTTAATGGATGACGTTTGAAACAATCAGGACTCTTCCTAGATCTAGCCAAACTGAGCAATCGAAGGAGAAGGGTCTTGGTTAGAGAGGTGACCAAGACACTGATGGTCACTCTGGTTGAGCTCCATGATCTTATATAGAGATGGGAGACACTTACAGAAGGACAAACGTCACTGCGACGCTCCACCGATCTGGGCTTGAAGTGACCGAACTCAAGCTTCTCCTCAGTAAAGATGCATGAAACCCTAATTGGAGTTTACAAACACACACCTAAATAAAAGAATCTCTGGTCTGATGAACCACAATTCCTTGTTCATGTCTGCGGGAAACCAAGCACTGCTTACCGCCTGCATCATACCATCGCAACGGTGAAGCATGGTGTTTTTCAGCGGCAGGGATTGGGGAAGTGATCAGAGAATACAGAGTTCCCTTTCATGGGAACTTCGAACTGCGTCCTCTAGGGGTCGCTATGGGGAACGCCTCGTCGTGACTCGTATCTGAAGCATACATTGAAAAAAACACCAACTCGTTGGCCGGCGACAGCCATGACGTCACTACCGGTGCGACTACAGTATAAATCGGTGCCGGGAGCTACACATCGTTCTCTTCTTCGTCTTCATTGACTGTTCTGTTTGAAGCGTGCATTTTCAAGGAAAAAGTAAGAGCTATCTATTAATATTATGGCGAGCACTAGTAGAGCATTTAGAAGGTGTGTGCATCCGTGTCAGCGCTATTTGACACCAGATGACACACACGATCTATGTGTTGTTCGACTCCCATAGCAATATGGTAGAGTTGGTATTTAGTGCTCGCCATGGTTCTGGCTTGCATTCCCCTCAGCATGGTGGCGTGGGTATACCGTTCCCCCTAGCGACCCCTAGAGGACGCAGTTCGAAGTTCCCATGAAAGGGAACGTCTCGGGTTACTTATGTAACCATGGTTCCCTGAGTAGGGAACGAGACACTGCGTCCTCTAGGTTTCTTGCCATGCTGCGGACGCAAGCTTCAGACGAAGAAGTGAACGATGTGTAGCTCCCGGCACCGATTTATACTGTAGTCGCACCGGTAGTGACGTCATGGCTGTCGCCGGCCAACGAGTTGGTGTTTTTTCAATGTATGCTTCAGATACGAGTCACGACGAGGCGTTCCCCATAGCGACCCCTAGAGGACGCAGTGTCTCGTTCCCTACTCAGGGAACCATGGTTACATAAGTAACCCGAGACGATATCCTTAATGAAAACCTGGTTCAGAGCGCTCAGAACCTCAGACTGGGCTGGAAGTTCACCATCCAACATGCCAAATACCCTACGCACACAGCCAAGACAATGCAGCAGTGGCTTGGGGACGAGCTGGGGCTTGGAGCCAATCAGACATCGTTGGAGAAACCTATAAATGGCTGTCCACCGATGGTCCCCCAGCCAACCTGTCAGAGCTCGAGATGATCTGAAGAGAAGAATGTCAAAAAACCCAAATGCAGATGTGCAAAGCTTGTTGCGTCATACACAAAAAGACCCGAGGCTGTAATTGTTGAGAAAGTGCATGATTTTTTTTTTAATAAATTTGCAAAGTTGTGCTTCATCTGGGTTTTGCTTTGCCATTATTGTGAGAGGGGTGTAGACTTATGTGGGGGAAAAAAGTAGTTTAAAGCAGTTTAACAACGCAACAAAATGTAAAAAAAAAAAAAAATGAATGGGTATGAAGGCTTTCTAAAGGCACTGCACATACAAAAAAAATATATTTTTTTTATTTTAAATCTATAAGGGTCCTAGAAATGCAACTGAAACTACATCCTCTGGTATTGCAGGAATACGTACTCACAAAAACAGGCAATTCTGGTCTGTACCCAAATTTAAGACCTCTTGAAATCATAATTAAGACTACCTTGTACAATTTAAGACTTTTTATGACCTTAAATTTGATAAAAGACCGTGCCGTTTGCAGTGCCAGTCGTGTCCGGCTATATGAATGTGCTGGAGTTTGTTCTGGAGGAGAGCATTTTCATTTCTAGAGTTTTTCTTGAAGCTCTCTCAAGATATGACCTGCTGCAGGTGTTTTTGACCCCAAGCCTCGGCTGTTCTCTGCAGGTCTCCAGCTGTGATCTTTGGCCTCTCAAACGCTCCTCCTCAGCTTGCTTTAACACCAGATAGACACGTCCTCTTCCAGACAGATTTCTAACATGCTCTGTTGATTGGCGATGTTTAATTAGTGCCCTGATGGGAGAAATGGTAACTCCTCTCCACCCTGGTGCGAAAACATTAATATCATATACTTCAGAGTATTTTAATCAGAAGGACTTCCAGGAGAACAGTGTAGAGCCACAGTGTCTTCATAATGTGATTTCCCCCCACTTTCACTTTTTAAAAAAAAAATTAAGTTAAAAGTTAGTATATACAAATAAGTGCAGCCTTGGTGAGCGTGAGACTTGAACAATATTACAAACTCTTGCTGACCCCAAACTTTTGTGCACGTGTGATATTTATGTTTAATGGGCTAGTGTGTGCAAGACCATGCATTTAAACTGGCTGTTAAAAGTTGAAATGGATTGTGTTGTGTTCTGTAATTGCTGTTAATAAATCTGTCAGAAAACAATACGCTAAAGTTTCACCTTCAGGGGTACAACAGCCTGGAAGCCTTTTACACAAATCCACCATGGTTTTATTACAGTTTACCACAACTTTACCATGCTAATAACACCATGTTTATTTTCCATGAGGTGCACCTTTGTAACTTATCCACCCTTAAAGCATGCCCACTTGTATGGCACTAACATGCTCTCTTTCAGGGGTCTAATAATAATTTAAAAGATGAGTTTAGTTTATAGGTATGGGATCGAATATAAAATAAGAGCTATCGCGCATCGCTGACCCACAGGAGCTAGAGGGGGAGGGGCGCGTCGTGTGACGCGGAGCTGGTTTCCCTTAGGTCCTGTGAGCAGCTGTAAAAGCCCTCCCTGGAACACTCGCTTCATATTCGTTTTCGTCGCTTGACTGAAACAGATGTCTGGAAGAGGCAAAGGCGGCGCTAAGCGGCACCGTAAGGTGCTGCGGGGTAACGTCCAGGGCATCACCAAACCCGCTATCCGTCGTCTGGCGCGCCATCTCCGGGCTGATCTACGAGGAGCGTTCAAACATGGAGCGGTGTGCGGAGCTATCATTTCACCGCCTGTGATTGGCTCTCGTTCCGCTCGTGTTACTTCGAGTTGTCCAATCACAGTCGAGTTTCTGGGTTCGGTCTGTGGAAACACGCAATCAGAAGGTTCCACATCGCTGTGTAAATTAGCATAGGCTAGTGAATATAAACGGCTCTGTGTAATCACCGATTCCTCAGCAGCATCGTGTCTTTTTTTTTTTTTTTGTATTTTGTTTCGTATTAAGAGAGGTGTTTGTAAAGCATAAAAACAAACTTAAATCAAAAAGCGTATGAGGGGGAAAAAAGTGGTTTATGTAACGTTTATTAAACTATTAGGAACCGTATATTTTATTCCTCCAAATAATGTAATGCAAACCAAGTGTGCTTCAGATTCTGGAGTGGTGTTTGGTGTTTTTGGAGGAGACCGAGAGAGAGAGAAGAAACTGAAGCACTCTGATCCAGAGAACCGTGATGGAGAGATGAAGAAGAGGGATACTGAAGAGACGAGTTTACTGTGAGCGACTGTAACAATAGAGACTCTTGCTCTAGCCAACATCATTAATGAAGCCCGCTGTGAAATGTCTAGAAGGAAAACGTAGCATAGGTACGCTGAGCATTGCATGATAATCACCAGTCTCTCAGTGAAACGCCTCATGCATCAAAAAAAAGACCATATAGTGCATGACCTCTTAGGGTCTCTAAACTTTTGAGTGCTGCGGAGAAGACCGAAACCTTATAATAAAGCTTATTATTAACTTGATTAATTTATACTGTTTATTTTGTTTCATCCAACTTAAAATAAGTTAGATTGCTATAAAGGTGGGTCACATTTGCAAAATTTTGGCAAGTCATTTTCAAAGCAAGCATCTTCTGCGAGTCGGCGCCATGTATTCGCATGATCAAATCTGTGTTGGGAAATATTTTGTATGCAAACGTTTTCTGCGAAGCGTGTGACCGCACCTTTAATCAGGTTTCAGGAGTGGCCGTTCAACTGAGACTGCAATACTGAAGCCTTGCGCATTGCAAAAGCTGATTCCAAATCATCCGTTCTCATTCTGCCTGATCTATCTGCTGCATTTGACACCGTCGATCGTCAGATCCTCCTGTCTGCCCTCTCTTCGCTGGTTTGAATCCTATCTCACTGGTAGGTCTTTCAGGGTGTCCTGGGGAGGGGCGGTATCCAAAGCACATCAGCTGGTCACTGGGGTTCCTCAGGGCTCGGTTCTAGGACCGCTCCTCTTCTCTATTTACACTACATCACTGGGTCCCATCATACAGGCACATGGCTTCTCCTACCATTGCTATTCTGATGACACACAGCTCTATCTTTCATTTCAACCAGATGATCCAACGGTAGCTGCACGGATCTCAGGCTGCCTGGCAGACATCTCAGCATGGATGAAAGAATATCACTTACAGCTCAACCTGGCAAAGATTACGAGCACTTCTTGTGTCTGTTTGCCTCTTTAAGAAAAATCGCTTGATGTATCCCCCAATTGTAAGTCGCTTTGGATAAAAGCGTCTGCTAAATGACTTAACGTAAATGTTTCAGTGATTTGCCATTTTCTACCATTTGAAGTCTAGGAATAAAAACTGAAAGAAAATAAATAAATGAAGCAAAATGAGCACACAGAGTTTTGTAGGTATTTCCCAGTATTTATTGATATGTCAAACTCATTTAAAGACAAACACATTGTCCAAACTACTGTACTGCATCAATGGTCACCAAGCTCGTTTTTGCCATTATGAAGAATAAAAAAGCAGTTAATTATAGAGATGTATCCAGATAGAGGCGATTTATCATAGCTACCTGAAGCAGCTCTAGGAAAAACAATAATAAATGGGAACGTGTAAAAGGAAAGGAATGAGTTTTCAGTAAATGTGAAGCTGCCAAACAATAGTTTTACACAGCACGGGTAAAGTTAAGGAAATACGTTTTTTGTTAAAGCTGGTGTCTCTAGCACAAACAGAGATATATCACTCAAATGGAGATGGTTTGGAATAATGTCTAATCTTCCTCACGGCGGACCAATCTCATTCTTTGTTTCAGAAAGTCGCGAAGTTCAAAGTCAAAGTATTTGCTTTTATGTATTCTTAGGTTTATATCTGAACACTAAATGACATTGAGTGTAAAAATATAGACACTAAACTAAAACATGTTTACGGCTGTGTATGTAAACCAATCAGAACTGTATATTCCACATCTCATTATACTCCAGGCCACATTATAATACGAATGACCTGTCAGCTGTAAAGTAATAATAAGCCATAATGCATTAATTCTTCTGACGTGCGGAAGAGCATCTACCCAGAACCCTCCAAATGTTCAACAAGTGGACGCTCGCGTTCTAGAAGACTTTGGTAAAGTTTATCTTTCAGTTTAGGTGTTGTCAGAAAGTCCAGAAGCGTTCTCATTTGTGCATCTGTTGCTCCTTTATGTTGCACTAAGATGATTCGGTATTTTTCATCTCCAAGCAGAGGTTTCATGTCGTCTGCAATGGGCTCCACCAGTGAGACCCTTCTGATCAACTCTGTCCTGTGCTTCTCCACAAACTCAGCGCCTGGATGAACAAAATGTTGCCTCGTCTTCATTAAAAGCCAGTACTGTAAGAAGAATCTGCACAGAAACAGCCAGATCTATTTTTCATAAATTATGTTTACCTTCACCCTTTTTGCATCTTCCCTTTTTCTGTGCGGTGTCAGTCTCTGCAGACTGAAGAGCTGGGTAAAGAAAACAAACATGAATTAAAACGATTACGTCCGCTAGGGGTAAGATGCAATAAGTATAATAAAGACTCTCATCAAGCCGTCAGACCAAAGAAAAGAAACCAGGAACTTGAATAAACGCTAACAGGAGTCTTTGGTCTGACGGCTCACGAAGTGTCGGGAACATCAGCTCACTTCTGGATCGCTGAAGAGACGTTTTAAGAGGACCACCAGCTGAGAGTTCAATAGCTGTTATCAGCTGGCGCCACCATTGCAAAATCAGCACCGATCTATTAACTCAAAAGACAATAGGAAGAACATACATATAACAAAGAAAAACTTCATAACGTACCGCAATTATTGTCCAGGTTTTTGGTATTACATATTACATGCATGCATATATTACTCAGAAATACAGCAGCTTTGGCCAAATTATTGGAAAGCATTCAACGTATCCTTCGTGAGGAAAGCAATACCAGAATGCTCCACGATTTTAGACCAAATGAGAGTGCAATGTTTTAAACAAGATGGAAGACGCTGCTTAACTTAAAGTGCATATAGTGGCTAAATACACAAATTATAATAATAATATATTAAACTTTGCAGAACATTACACAACATCATCATCATCACTTACTTGTTTTTAGCCTCCAGTCAGCTGAAATGAGGCCAAAAAAAATACATACATTATTTAACGGTATTAAATATTATTGTAACTGCAGAACAACAGCAAAACACTTTATAGCATGCGTGCATGTTTGTAGCATGCAGATTTGTGTGATCCGTACTGCCACTTACATGCTGAACTGTTTGTGTTGAGTTCATCTGGAAGAACACAGACAACAAATTAAAACACAAAAGATTAAACAGACGATCCGCAGAGAATGTTGCAAGTCCTTGTGGGTTGTTTACCTGGTTCTATATTAACATCCCATATTTTTTGGCCCTCTTTTGTCTCTATAGAGAGTTCGAGACATTCCTTTGCATCTTGAATGTGTAAATCAAAGAAGTTGGTCTTGCCGGGACTCAATTTTAAACTCTGGCAAGAAGTGAATTGAAATATTTTAGAAAGAGACCGCATGTAAGTCTGGATTATTTTCTAGCACCAAAAAAAAAAAAAAAGTGCAAGTACCTGAGGTTTGATTTTGGAGTCACAAGATGTCTTCAGGGTGTAACTGTAATCCATTGTTAGGCCTTCATCTGGTGTTGGTTTTACAATCTCCTTATTATTTTTCTCCTTCTCCTCCACATACTAACAGTGTTAGACACAATTATCTGTCACTTAAACATGTACTTATAGAAGTAGTGTTACTCTTGCTTTCTACAAAAGCAAAACAATAAATCTACTCATACTGTCATAATGTAGCTCCTCAGAAACAGTTGTGGTTGCTACAAAGTGGTTGCCGAGCAACACACAAACGTAAACAAAGGTGTGTGTTACTTTGTAGAGTCATTCAAAACAGCTTTGAACGCGGCTCAGCCAATCAGAATCAAGCACCGGAACTCTCCGCTCTATAAAATGTCTTATATTCCAAGTCCTCTGAAGCCATGCAACATCTTTCAAATCTCAAATACTGAAACCTGTTGAGTGGCATATATAACTCACAGAGATTCATACACGTATCATAAACATACCAGATTGATTGATTGATTTATTGAACAGATTAAATCAATCAATACATAGCTTCAAAAGACTTTAGACTATATCATTTTGCATGTATTGTTTTATTTTGTTCTGTAGATAATTGCACAATTTTCATTATCCCTTTAGAACAGTTTGGTTATATTCACTTTCGAATAAAATCACCCAATAAATGGCTGATTATGTTCTACGACTGTAAGTAAATGAATGTCAAAATACACGGTCATATGGTGCATAAAGCTTATCATTAGATTTTACCTTCTTAAGTTTTTGATCCTTTACAATCAGGTACACATGAAGGTTGAGGGAAGCCTTTCTGTTGCAATAAATCAAAGTCTCACAGTAATATTTCAGGGGGGGGTGACGATGATTTGCAACAACTCCAAATAATGCGACGGTGGGATTGAGAAGCTTAGCATGGAGTCCGCTTAATTCACATCTTTCCAATGAAACAACACCGTCCTTCACATAAAGAACTTGCATTGTATCGTCTGAGGAAGATGTAGGATCTGTGGACAGTAATGCAGTTTAAGTTACAAAGTCTTCAAGAATGAGAGCTCATCGGTCTGGCTTAAATCGTTTACACAATTGGAGAGAACATGTTGAAATGACTGGATCTGGAGTGAGATGTGCCTTACCGACACAGACGAAGTGAGGTAACTGAATTTCCTCCAGTGTGCCAGAGGTTGCAATGATGTCTATCAAAGGTCCACAGGGTGTGTATTTCTTCATAGTATCTTTACTGAGTGATTTCCAGTCAGCAAACCGATAATCCAAACTAACATCACCGACAGACCGCCAGCGGAGGCTAGTCTCTGAACATTCATGCATCCCTTCAGAGGAGCTGACACTGAAAACCCAAATATAACACTGATAAAGGTGCTCTCAGAAGATGTGATATTATATATGTAATGTTACAAGTATGTATGATTTTATAAAGATTTCTCTGTGTACCTGTACTGGATATTTGCATTTGTCTTGTCCTCTGAAGGTCTTTTAACTTCCCATTCAGAATCATCCTGAGAGGGAGAAAAATAATCATTAATCGAATGAAGACATTAAAAGTCACTGAAGTACAGATAAAAGCTTAGTTTGAATAGAATCAACAGAAATCAACAAATCAACAAATATTCGGATTCTGCATCGGGATTGGCAAGTCAGCCCAGGGCCCATATGCTAAACAAATTGTATGGACTCCCCCAAACGTTATGGGCTCCAACTCGGTTCAATTAAATTATCGTATATATTTTTTTAAGTAAGTACGTTACTATTCACAAGCTGTTTTATTTAGGTATAAATGCTTGGTAATCCTATTTAACGCTTTGAAGTCCATTCATTATTTGTAACACCCAAGCAGAGGTTGTGTTGGACATTTTGACGGACAGGGTCGTAAAAAATTCTGTCATAATCTATTATTACCTACCCATCATTTTAATGTTCATATTTTAATTATAATAACACATTTAATTGCTTTTATTTTTGTTCACAATTTCAATTTTAATCATGAACCTGCAGGACGATCTAGGCTCATGCATTTACAGATGAACAGAGACTGTGAGTCCCTCTTCATGTTCAACACCACACCGGTGTGGCAGCGGAGGACACTAAAAACAACAAAACATGCTAGGACTGGGTAAAATAATAATAATAATAATAATCGGTTTCTCGATTTTAATATTCTCATTTGTATGAACCAATATCGATTCTTAAATCCCAATCGATCTTTTAGTCTATATGACTATGCACAAGCTGTTTTATTGATGATTTTTGAAACTCTAATACATTTCATGAGACGTTTGTTTTTATTAAATTGTATTGTATTGTACAAAATGCATTCAAATATCTATTCATGTTCTGCAAATATTAAAGAGGAAAATATGATTGATTCGCATGCCGCTTGAACTGAGGCGAATATAGTTATCTCACTACAAATTAAAGAGTAAAAACATTTATTTTTTGTATTTTATCCCCCTGCTTAAAGAGCAAACAGGTCTGTGGATGATGCAGTCAACATGGGACTGCACTTCATCCTGCAGCATCTGGATAAATCAGGGACTTGTGTGAGGATCCTGTTTGTGGACTTTAGCTCCGCTTTCAACACCATCATCCCAACTCTCCTCCAGACCGAACTAACCCAGCTCTCTGTTCCTACCTCTATCTGTCAATGGATCACCAGCTTTCTGACAGATAGGCAACAGCTAGTGAGAATGGGTAAATCCACATCCAACAGCCGTACCATCAGCACTGGCGTCCCTCAGGGCTGCGTCCTCTCCCCACTGCTCTTCTCCCTCTACACCAACGACTGCACCTCTACTGACCCCTCTGTCAAGCTCCTGAAGTTTGCAGATGACACTACAGTCATCAGCCTCATCCAGGATGGTGACGAGTCTACTTATAGAAGCGAGGTTGAGCAGCTGACTGTCTGGTGCAGCCTTAACAAGCTGGAGTTCAACACGCTCAAAACAGTGGAGAGGATCGTGGACTTCAGGAGAAACCTCCCTGCACTCCCCCCACTCACCATCATGGACAACACTGTAATAAGAGTGGAGTCATTCAGGTTCCTGGGCACCACCATCTTTTAGGACCTGAAGTGGGACACTCACTCAAGACCCAGCAGAGATTGTATTTCCTTCGCCAGCTGAGGAAGTTCAACCTGCCACAGGAGCTGCTGAAACAGTTCTACTCCGCCATTATTGAATCTGTCCTCTGCACTTCAATAACTGTCTGGTTCAGCTCAGCTACCAAATCTGACCTCAGAAGACTTCAGAGGGTAGTCCGGACTGCTGAGCGAATCATTGGTACAACCCTCCCTTCTCTCCAAGAACTGTACTCGTCCAGAGTGAGCAAAAGGGCTGGCAGAATCACTCTGGACCCCTCACATCCAGCACACTCCCTCTTTGAACTGTTGCCAACTGGTTGGCACTACAGAGCACTGAGCACCAGAACGGCCAGAAACAGCTTCTTCCCTCAGACCATCTACCTCACGAACAGTTAAATGTTCTCCCCACTGTGCAATAAAACATGTGCAATACCCAACTATCTATACTTATATTCATTATACATATGTTATTGATTTAAAATGTCATGCATCTATCTAAATTCCCTTGTATAATTTGTATATAGCAGATCTCTACAAACGGTATGTTGTCTATTGTATTTGTGTCTATTGTGTATTGTTTTTCACATTTATTTTTAATCATCTGTCTATTTTTGTTATATATGTCTTGTCACTTGTCATCCTGTCTGGGCACTGGAAGCTTCTGTCACAAAGACAAATTCCTTGTGTGTGTAAGCACACTTGGCAATAAAGCTCTTTCTGATTTATGATTATGATTCTGTAAACAGCGATTGAGTGTTGCACAACTCAGAACTGAAATTCAATAACGTCAAGGCTGTTATGTGATTGGTTATCAAGGCACACGTGATCCAAGCAGACCGTTACGCTTTCTCCAATAGTAGGTAATACAGACCCTCTCATCTCCCAATAATAAGAAAATCATTTTCCTTTACATTATTAAGTTCCCCTCAATATCGTAATTTATATATGAAGCTCAAATGACATTTGGCTACGAAATAACAGTCTAAGTACGGAGTCAGATTTAATTTAATAATTTATATTTCATTTATTGTATTGCCAGTACGCCGACACAAATGAATGACTTTGAAAAATACCATTATTTACAATAATATAAAACGAAGAACCAGTTGTGAAACCAGTGGCTGTAATGGAACGCAGCACTTTGGAAGGTGCTATACATTTTTATGACCACTAGATGGCCACAACATAAACAGTGTTTTTGAGCAATGAACCTTTTTCCAATACAACCGTGTTGAAAGATTTGCTGGTTCAGAACGCATAACTTCACTATCACTCCATGAATCATTTGCTTTTGAAAGATACATACCAGTTTCTCATCAATCTTCTTTCCCCGGTTGACGGTGGCAGAGCAATTGTAAATGCGATCATGTTCCTCACGGAGCTTCATCATACTCTCTCGCAGCTGTTTCATACTTTTCCATTGAGGAGAAAAACACGAGTCATCCACAAAACCATATTCACAGCATATAATTCTGCTTGCATGGCATAAAGCATGAGATGCAATTGGATATTTCAGTTTAGAGGCTATATACTGTAGACAGAGTTACGAGGTTTGTACTCACTCCTTCTCAATCATCTCAGATTGAGGGTGCTGCAAACGAAAGGCTTCGGCTGCATTTCGATCCAGAGTATTCAGCAGCTCCAGTGAGTTCAGGATTGTCCTGTCGATGTCCTCCTGGTACAGGGGCTGCTTCCCTTCATTCATCCTTTTGATATCCTACAAACATCAAAGAGCAACACAATTAAGCATAGTTACGTAACAACTCTTAAATGAATAGTTCACCCCTCTGTCGTTCCAAACCTGTATGGCTTTCTGTGTAACACACACAAAACATAAAAGATAAGTTGTCTGATCGTGTGGTTATTTTGTGTGTATAGATAAGCTCAAAGGGGTCCAACTTTCAAAGCAGAGCTAAAACAGTCTACGGATTCTTCAAAATATCGTATTGTGTGCTACACAGAAGCAAGGTAAGACGTGGAATGACATGAGGTTGAGTAAATGATGACAATTTCCATTTATTGGTTAACTATACCTTTAATAGTCTGTACCTATCTGTATTTATGTTATCTGTATGCACCAAGGGTCTGAGAGTAACGCAATTTCAATTCTCTGTGTGTATGTGCTGTACATGTGGAAGAATTGACAATAAAGCAGACTTGACTTAATGTTTCTTTCCACTCGCATACACCAGTTTTATTAACTAAAAGCTATTTATGTATTTATTTATTTTATATTTGGTCAAATTTAGCAGGAAATAGAAATGTTGCTTTGCCAACTAACTGCAATAAAATAAAACTAAAACTGACAAAATGGCAAATGCACATAACAAAATGATCAATTAAAATAAAAACTGAAAGTGTAAAAATAAAGGC